GATTACGTCCTTCCTCGGTATCGGCGTCTGAGCCGGTACCGTTGCAGCGTTCAATTTGTTAAACGCGTGCACTATCCGCCACCCTCCTGTTGCTTTTCGCACACAGAAGGTCGGAGAGCTATGTGGGGAAGTTGATTCCCTCACATGGCCCGCTGCTAAACGATCGGCAAAGAACTTGTCGATCGCAAGTACTTGTTCACGAGGCAGTGGCCACTGCTTCATGACACAGTACTTCGAGCCTGGTTTAAGCTCGACTTCGTGTCGAATACCTTTATCCTTCGGTAATTCGCACGGAACAGTTTCAGGGAATACATCCTTGAATTCAACTAAATCTTCATAGAGAGGATTTTCCTTGAGCGATTCCCATGATTGGGACTCATATCGCTCAATTCGTGTCTTTTCATCTAGGACACTCTCGTCCATAGATGAACTACTGAGAACTCTCTCGTTCTCAGTAAACACTGTTGCTGACCTTATGTCGGTTACATACTCGTCTTCAGCGACGAGTATGCAGATCTGCTTGACTTTGCCACTACGCAGATCACGCAAGAATCTTTTATGTTCGAGCGTTGGCAACTGAGTGATCTCCGAAGTTAACTTCGGAGGCGCAATCAGATCAAGTGTATAAGCGCCTACACATGATCCGTTATTGACTATGACATTCAATGTCTCTGTCATTTCCTGGGGACTTATTCCCTCAGGCTTCGAAGGACTTATTCCTTCGTCTTCCCGGGGACTTATTCCCGCGGGTTTCGGGGAACTTATTTCCGCCGTATTTGTAATCTTGGGACTTATTCCCTTTACTTCCTCTAGCTGGGGTTGCGCAACCACAGCGAGATCCTCTACGAAAGACTCTCCAGTCGATCTAGGATTATCGTTTCGCTTAACCTGAGCGATCGATTGTTTCTCTTCTAGATGTTCCCCTCTAGGGATACATCTTTGTCCCAGTCCACCCGACTTATTCGAGTGGTGGACCTTCGGCGCAGCCTGTGTTTCCTCACAGCCGCCGGAACTTTGCTCCGAAGTGTAACCGTTTGGTACACTAAGGTTTTGTGCAGTCGTACTAACGACCGTACCACAAGTGAGGCCATCGCACTCACTCGTAGTACATCCACACGCTTGTGGACGCTCCAAAACGTTCATCAGATGGCCATCTGATGAACAAGCGGCAGGCATCGTTACTGTTCGATGTTGCCAGTTTATCCGTGGTTCGTACCTTCTGAGCCACGGTATTCCAAGGATGACATCAAATTTGTCATCCAAATCCAATACGATAAAGTCATCGTCGTATTGGGTATCTTCTAGCGTATAGTGAATCTTCACTATACGCTTCATGACGGTTACGGATGCGCCTGTCGCAAGACGTACCGTCATCCTCGTAGGTGGTGTGTCACATTCACTGAATTTAAAGTGACCATCTTCTAGCGATTGGCGTCGCACAAAATTGTTGGACGCCCCACAATCGACTAGAGCTCGAAGGGACAACTTATTCGTCACTTCGAGTTTCAAGGTAATGAGTGAGATCTCATTACCTAGAGCAGCAACGCACAATGTCTGTGTGTTGGGAGCAACCTTCATCAAGAGGCCTACAAATTCTCTTGACGTTGCTGGATCAGTAGGGTGCTCCGCACCTACTGATCCTGTCCGTTTTTCGACGGTCCATCCCGTTGTTGCGTCTTTGCACCAACTGCGGACCCTCGTCCCTGCCCCTTTCTCATGGGTGGACGGTCACTACGCCCAGTGTCGCGAGACACTGGACGAGGGGCACTACACTCGTAAGCGTAGTGTCCTGTCTTTTGACATCTGTTGCATCTCTGCAACTTCTTGTAGCCTGTAGAGCGAGCCTTCTCGCTCTCTACATAACAGAGTTCCATCGGCTCTGGACCTCCGTTGTCATATCGTCTCGGTTGACGATATGATGTCGAGCTGGCGCGAGCCTGTCTCAGACTGAAGTCTTCCTGCTCCGCAATTGAAATGGCTTGTTCTAGTGAATCTAGTTCAAGCCGGAACAGGTGAGTCTTGACGGGACCATCCGCAAGACCCTGCATGAACACCGAAACCAACGTGTGTTCATCCACCGGATTGGAACTTATACAACTCGTGAGATGTCGTATATGTTGAGCGTAAGCGTGCACATCACGCTTACCCTGCTTGAGCTTCAAGAGTTCGGTTCGAGCTCTGAACTCAGCTCTAGGCGGTTCAAACGTTTGTCTGAGCCGCGACTTGAAGACTTCCAACGACCCAAACGCGTATGGGTCGTGCAGCTTGAGCCCCAGTGCCCAAGTCTTGGCACGTCCTGCCAGATTTGACTGGGCAAATGCAACTTGCATATCCCCGTCGTCGATGCGACGCGCCATTATAGCGTCGTCCAATTCGACGAACCATCTCAAGAGGGAGTCTTCTTCGACCCCCCTATACTTTGAGATGTCAATCTTCAAAGTCTCGGGCCGACGCGAGTGCATCGACCCGCCAGCAGCAGCCTGCTGCTGTCTCAACAGTTCAAACTGTTGAGCACCTTGTTCTCTCAACAACTCTGCTTGTTGAGAACCTTGTTGGTGAAGCAAGGCTACTTTCTCGCGTTCTGCGTCAAGTTCATTTTGAATGAACTTGGCGATAGTAGCATGTTGGGCATCTCTATTGAGAGCCTCTAGCATGACGCTAACAGCATGGATGCCCATGGTCGAACCCATTCGTTCAACCGCATCCCATTCGACATCGCTCAAATGGGAGTAGCCGTCACGCGTAGCGTGAAAGCTTTGGTCATCTTCATCATCCAACATATTCATGTTGGATGTGAACGTGGTCCTTGGACGGACTACGAAGTGCTACCAGGTGTAACGGGGCACCCTGAAGCTTGTACTGGTGACAGTACAAGCTACTTATTCTGATAACAGAATAAGGCGGTGCCTCGTAACTTCACGTACACTCGTACGTGCAGAGGAAGACGGTAAGAAGAAGCGAGTACTTGGTTAGAGTAAAAAGTAGAACTGTATTTATAATAGTTAATGTCTGCAATAAATCACTATTTATCTTCATCTAACTATGTCTAAATACAAATGTGTAAATCAGTTATCTGCTCACCACTCATTGCGTGCGTCTGTCGTGGCGCGTCTTCGTTGGTTGATATAATGGCCTATATCAACCAATTAGGAACTACTTGGAAGTGCTACCGAATATTGTCCTTATGACAATATTCTGAGAATATAACTCTTATAGTTATATTCTATTAACAATTTCTTATAAATTGTTATGTAACGATTCACCCCGTTACAGCACACGAAACTTCAAGAGACTCGCTCAGCAGGTCGTAACGTTGATTAAGTGGTATTCACTATCTTTTCCACCTTAGTGGTGTAACGCATCCGCCTAAGCGCGTCTACCTGTTCGTTGCTGACGAAATATCCTTCTCGGACTTAAGCTTGCACAAATAATGAGCACGCAAGAGTAACATGCTGTGCATTACGGCGCTGGATTACTTCCTGTTGTCGCCCACATTATCATTTAGACCGCTTCTTTCGAGTCGTGCTGATTTAAATTGAGATACGCATACCGCTTTGGGTCATGCGCACGGCTGCCGGTGCGAGTGATTCAATCAACAACTTATCAGAAATTCAGTTTGGGCACGGACCTCCTTCCCTCATGTCGCATATTGCATCTGGTGCAATAAACGGGTGAATACAGCATCTGTTTATGGCTCAGCAATTGCGATCAGCCTTTTGCTTGCCGTGCTGGTCTTTGAACCAATGCGTACATCAGCAAACTAAAGTCTTTACACATTATTTGCGTCCTGCTTTTCAAACTCTGCACAATATATTTGCGCGCTTTAGCATACTCCCCTGTATAACGAGACATGCAAGAGGGTGATCAACGCACAGCGTAGATATCTTAATTCTGCACAAGTTACCAAAGACCTGCACTCATTCCTCTCTCGATCACATGCACAATTATTATGTAAGACGATAAGGCGTCGGCAGACTTACAAATGAGGCGCTTAAAAAGCGACACTGGACAATATTATAGCATTAGCGGTCATATTTATCTGACCTCAGGTAGCAATTATTGCCAGTTTCGTCGCGCAATCAGATTGCGCGTATTGTCCGTAATCTTTGAGAGCGTTCGTTCTATTACCACATGCAACAACATGACGATCGCTTTTGTGTCTTGCACTTCGCCGTCGCGTCGCACTTTTCCACCATCAGCGCGCGAAACATCACTCCCTGCTCCAGAAAAGGTATCTCGCCACTAGTTCTGAGCGATGACATTTTTGCAAAGGACATACCCCGCTCGATGCGATCCAGGCACACAGCCAAAGGTCCCACTAACCAGCAATGTATACGGGACTTTTGCTTCGTCGATGACGTGGTTCTGCACAAAAAAGAACCTATTTTAGAATGGGGTTCTTTGAGTGGTCGCAAAAGCTGCTGACGAGTACTCTATCATCATCATCAGAGCGCGGTCAAAGAGTCAGCAGCTGAAGTTTCTTCAGCGTTGGAGGCGGTCATCATCAAACAGCTGGCCGTTCAGATTGGGTTGCTACTGACGAGAGTCATCGCAGAGGCATCAAATGCTGCTTTCTGCCCGCTCAGAGTGCCTGGAAGATTTGACTGGGCACAGCCGAGGAGCTCAAATTGCCGTTCGAGCCTTCGATATTACAAGTGTATGCGCAAGCACCAGCTCCGACCGGCCGAATCAATGGGCGCGCACATTGGCCTTAGAGCCAATTTCAAATCTCAAGTCGCATCTCCGATTATGTTTTTCCATTCTCAAGTCTATACTAGCGTAGAGAATCCAGCTGCGTCGCTCGGATCGGTGCAGAGCACTGTGACTGGTAGTAAACCATTGTGCGCTTGGTGTCGCAAGGTGCTGCTCGAGCACATGCGAAACGCTTGCTTAAGCACCGAAGCAGCGCGTCTTTTTCTTCCGCGTCTTTGTTGCATTTGGGCATGCTGACGCTGGACCAAGGCTAGATTGGTCATTCTGTTACTTTTCTCAAACCGGTCATGGCTAGCCAAGAACTAAAACATGAACAACATGCTGCGCCGGACCTGGGCGTCGTAGAAGTTGAGCGGAAGCGCAAGCAGCGCGAGCTCAAGCGAAAGTCCCGCGAGCGCAAAAAGGTGTGACTTTTTTTGTCTGACGAGTAAAATGAATGGCAGATAGACGTCCCATTGTTACTGACGCCAACACATTTTGACATTTTGTACTGCAGCGGAATATTTTGGAATTGCAGACAACCGCCCAGGCACTTGAGCTTGAGTACAAAGAGCTAATTGCTGCGAAATTGAAGCGGGAAGAGCAAGGCAAGCAGCAGCAAAGTGAAGGGATGACGGTGAAAAGTGATACGAATGTGGCGGAGATCGAGCAGTCCCAGATCGCTGAGCTGCAAAAGAAGTACTCGGCTGTGCGCGACGAGATGCACGAATTGAGAGAACAGATGACGGGCTTTAAGCAAAAGCTGGAAGAATATGAGCGTTTCATTGCGATGCTGGACGGCCATCTAATGGATTTCCAGGACGTAGATAAACGGCAGGAGGAGTCAAGTGGCTGAGGTTCTTTTGTAGTCTGATATTAAAGATGTAGTGGGAATCGTAATATTTGGAAAGAGACAGCATGCGAGTGAAAGACCGAGACAACATGTATGCGAGACCGAGGGAAAGGTAAGCGGGAAAAATGGTAGAGGCTCGATCAATCGGTCTTTGAAGGCAACGCCCAAAGCAGTTTTGTACAGCTAACAGTGCTGCAAGTATCACAAAAACTGTCGTTTCTGATTTTGACCTTCTGTTTATATCGCAAGATTATACCCAGGGGGACCAAGCGTGGTCCATCGCGATCGGCTTTAAAAGTTATGTTGTCTCGAGCTTCTTCAATGTATGTGTAACTAATAGATTCGTCTGGACCGTACCCAAAAAAAAATTGCATCGTGCCCAAATTTCGTGCCAACTATTTAAAAGGTTGTTTTGACTGTAAAAATACAACAAATCGAATTATTCGGCGAATGGTAAAGTGATAGATCTTGCAGGTACTAAGTGGATGAATTCGGAGCGAATAGCACATTTCCGAGTCCGCGCGCACTGCTTACTAAAAGGATACCGGTAGCAAAAGATGGCCGTCTCCCAATGTATAGGCGCCAAGACACAAAGTCAGCAAATATGGGAATGGCATTTTCAAACGCTTTTCAAGCGCCTTTGCGGCAAGAGGGAGATGAGCATCCTCATGGTCGGTCTTGACGCTGCTAGTTGACCACGATATTGTACAAGCTCAAGCTGGGATAAGTGGTCACGACTATACAAACTATCGGTACGTGAAGAGGTGTCGATGGCTGCATAACATAAAATTAAATTAGATAGAAATACGAACCCTGGCACTTTTTACTCTGTTTTGTGTATCTGATGGAGGACAGCAGTCTAACTGAATTTGTGGCTTTAGCTCGGTGATATGATCTAACGTCTGACGGCGGAGTACATAAAATATCGGGTAAGGCGCAAGACGTCGGTGGACAGAACAGGATCCGTCTGCTGTGGCGCCAATATTAAAAAACAGACTGAACCTGATTAACACAGCGATGGCGATCGTGTGGATGCTGATCGAGGACGAGTTGCTTTGCAAGCTAAACGGGTAAACACTGTACCGTATGCTAGATAAGGACGAGCTACACCGGATGCTGAACGAGGACGAGCTGCGGGGTCATCAGTGCTACTGATGTTGCAAGTAAAAGCAGGATTTGTTGGACGCCATGAGCGCGCTATAGTAACGGACAAGCTGGGTCTGCTCGGTCTGTACCAGTAGTAGTTTATCCTGGTGTATGGCGCCACGATGGGTGACCGGCTGTATTAAGGTCTGGATTGGCTCTTGCCTCTCTCCAGAAGAGACATGTGGCAATTGCTCTATGGCGCCATGAGGCATTGCAGCCATACCCCATAGGAGTGAATATGTGGACACTATGCAAATGTTGAAGTCGGGAGGCCTCAGCCGTGTAACAGTGTGTTCATTTTTGTAAAAGCTATTCGCACGCTCATTGCTTAGCGTCACAAAGTACGGACGTTCTGACCACTTTGAATGGTCGTGACTAAGATTGAGATATAGCAAAGGCGAACTTTAACGACGATGCTGTAGCACGGCGCAAGATTAATATTTTTGCTCATGAACCATCGTTTTTGTTTTAGATTGTGTGTTAATATGTAAGCATGCACTGATGTTTTTAGAACACGCAATCATGCGCTATATTTCCAGTACTCAATCGAGAAAAATAATCAGGAAACTATCTGATGCTGTGTCGTATACAAGGTCGTAGTCTTTAGAGAAAAAACGTAAAACACGCTTATTACATTCAAAGTCACTTGAATCAGTGGGCATAGGATTTAAGTTTGGTGAAGATCGTCCTGGGTACGGTCCAGACAAACCAGTAATGAACATTGTCTTTTTTGTCGACAGTGATTAAATAAAAGAAAAATTCTATTCATTATGACAAGGTAAAAGATCTGGGTTTGTAGACCCACTTGACGTCTTGACTTCGGGTACATGTGTTGCTGTCACGAAAGATTTTGCGGTTTTACTTATCCGTGTAACGGGGTGAATCGTTAGATAACAATTTATAAGAAATTGTTAATCGATTTTAACTACAAGAATTAAATTCTCAGAATATTGTCATAAGGACAAATATTCTGCAGCACTTACGAGTAGTTCCTAATTGGTTGACATAGGCCATTATATCAACCAACGAAGACGCGCCACGACAGACGCACGCAATGAGTGGTGAGCAGATAGTTGATATGCACATTTGTATTCAGACATAGTTAGATGAGGATAAATAGTGATTTATTGCAGACATTAACTATGATAAATGCAGTTCTGCTTTTTACTTTAACCAAGTACTCGCTTCTTCTTACCGTCTTCCTCTGCACGTACGAGTGTACGTGAAGTTACGAGGCACCGCCTTATTCTGTTATCAGAATAAGTAGCTTGTACTGTCACCAGTACAAGCTTCAGGGTGCCCCGTTACACCTGGTAGCACTTCGTAGTCCGTCTAAGGACCACGTTCACATCTAACATGAATATGTTGGATGATGAAGATGACCAAAGCTTTCACGCTACGCGTGACGGCTACTCCCATTTGAGCGATGTCGAATGGGATGCGGTTGAACGAATGGGTTCGACCATGGGCATCCATGCTGTTAGCGTCATGCTAGAGGCTCTCAATAGAGACGCCCAACATGCTACTATCGCCAAGTTCATTCAAAATGAACTTGACGCAGAACGCGAGAAAGTAGCCTTGCTTCACCAACAAGGTTCTCAACAAGCAGAGTTGTTGAGAGAACAGGGTGCTCAACAGTTTGAACTGTTGAGACAGCAGCAGGCTGCTGCTGGCGGGTCGATGAACTCGCGTCGACCCGAAACCTTGAAGATTGACATCTCTAAGTATAGGGGGGTCGAAGAGGACTCCCTCTTGAGATGGTTTGTCGAATTGGACGGCGCCGTAAGGGCGCTTCGCATCGACGACGGGGATATGCAAGTTGCATTTGCCCAGTCAAATCTGGCAGGACGTGCAAAGACCTGGGCACTGGGGCTCATGTTACACGACCCATGTGCGTTTGGGTCGTTGGAAGTCTTCAAGTCGCGGCTCAGATAAACGTTTGAACCGCCTAGAGCTGAGCTCAGAGCTCGAACCGAACTCTTGGAGCTCAAGCAGGGTAAGCGTGATGTGCACGCTTACGCGCAACATATACGAAATCTCACGAGTTGTATAAGTTCCAATCCGGTGGATGAACACACGTTGGTTTCGGTGTTCATGCAGGGTCTTGCGGATGTTCCCGTCAAGACTCACATGTTCCGGCTTGAACTAGATTCACTAGAACAAGCCATATCCATTGCGGAACAGGAAGACTTCAGTCTGAGACAGGCTTGCGCCAGCTCGACATCATATCGTCCACCGAGACGATATGACAGTGGAGGTCCAGAGCCGATGGAACTCTGTTATGTAGAGAGCGAGAAGGCTCGCTCTACAGACTACAAGAAGCTGCAGAGATGCAACAGATATCAAAAGACAGGACACTACACTTACGAGTGTAGTGCCTCTCGTCCAATGTATCGCGACACTGGGAGTAATGACCGTCCACCCATGAGAAAGGGGCAGGGTCGCGGGTCCGCAGTTGGTGCAAAGACGCAACAACGGTATGGACCGTCGAAAAACGGACAGGATCAGTAGGTGCGGTGCACCCTACTGGTCCAGCAACGTCAGGAGAATTTGTAGGCCCCTTGATGAAGGTTGCTCCCAACACACAAACGTTGTGCGTTGCTGGTCTAGGTAATGAGATCTCACTCATTACCTTAAAACTCGAAGTGACAAATAATTTGTCCCTTCGAGCTCTAGTCGATTGTGGGGCGTCCAACAATTTTGAGCAACGCCAATCGCTAGAAGATGGTCACTTTAAGTTCAGTGAATGTGACACACCACCTACGAGGATGACGGTACGTCTTGCGACAGGCGCATCCGTAACCGTCATGAAGCGTATAGTGAAGATCCACTATACGCTAGAAGATACCCAATATGACGATGACTTTATCGTATTAGATTTTGATGATAAATTTGATGTCATCCTTGTAATACCGTGGCTCAGAAGGTACGAACCACGGGTAACCTGGCAACATCGAACAGTAACGATGCCTGCCGCTTGTTCATCAGATGGCCATCTGATGAACGTTTCGGAGCGTCCACAAGCGTGTGGATGTGCTACGAGTGAGTGCAATGGCCTCACTTGTGGTACGGTCGTTAGTACGACTGCACAAAACCTTAGTGTAACAAACAGTTACACTTCGGAGCAAAATTCCGGCCCCTGTGAGGAAACACTGGCTGCGCCGAAGGTCCACCACTCGAATAAGTCGAGTGGACCGGGAAAAAGATGTATCCTTAGAGGGGAACATCTAGAAGAGAAACAACCGATCGCTCAGGTTAAGCGAAACGATAATCCTAGATTGACTGGAGAGTCTTTCGCAGGATCTCGCTGTGGTTGCGCAACCACAGCTAGAGGAAGTTCAGGGAACTAGTCCCGATATTACAAATACGGCGGAATTAGTTCCCCGAAACCCGAGGGAATAAGTGCCCGGGAAGCCGAAGGAACAAGTCTTTCGAAGCCTGAGGGAAAAAGTCCCCAGGAAATGACAGAGACATTGAATGTCATAGTCAATAACGGATCAAGTGTAGGCGCTTATACACTTGATCTGATTGCGCCTCCGAAGTTGACTTCGGAGATCACTCAGTTGCCAACGCTCGAACATAAAAGGTTCTTGCGTGATATGCGTAGTGGCAAAGTCAAGCAGGTCTGCGTACTCGTCGCTGATGACGAGTGTGTAACCGACATAAGGTCAGCAACAGTGTTCACTGAGAACGAGATAGTTCTCAGTAGTTCATCTATGGACGAGAGTGTCCTAGATGAAAAGACACGAATTGAGCGATATGACTCCCAATCGTGGGAATCGCTCAAGAAAAATCCTCTCTATGAAGATTTGGTTGAATTCAAGGATGTATTCCCTGAAACTGTTCCGTGCGAATTACCGAAGGATAAAGGTATTCGACACGAGGTCGAGCTTAAACCAGGCTCGAAGTACTGTGTCATGAAGCAGTGGCCACTGCCTCGTGAACAAGTACTTGCGATCGACAAGTTCTTTGCCGATCGTTTAGCTGCGGGCCATGTGAGGGAATCAACTTCCCCACATAGCTCTCCGACCTTCTGTGTGCGAAAAGCAACAGGAGGGTGGCGGATAGTGCATGCATTTAACAAGTTGAATGCTGCAACGGTACCGGCTCAGACGCCGATACCAAGGAAGGACGTAATCATTGATGGTATGTCAAAGAGTACCATCTTTTCGTCCATGGATTTGATGGATGGCTTCTATCAAATCCTTATGTGAGAACGGGATATACCCTGTACCGCAGTGAGCACGCCTAGCGGCATGCTCTGGGAATGGCTAGTAATGCCACAAGGGCTCAGTAATGCCCCTTCCACGTTCGACAGATTTGTATCACATCTGTGTATCACATCTGTTGAGACCAGTGCGAGAATTCGCGCCAAGTTATTTCGATGACGTACTCATCCATAGTCGAGCTATGGATGGAAAGTCGGACGTTGAGGTTCACAGATACCACGTCCGACAGGTTCTTACAATCCTGCGAAAGCACCAATTGTATGCAAATCTCAGGAAGTGTATATTTGCAGCAAGCGAAATACCACTTCTTGGGTGCATCGTTGGTAAGAACGGTGCACGTCCTGATCCCGAAAAGATCAAGGCGATCACCGACTGGCCTGTGCCGGTTGATGTCAAAGGTCTTCGAAAACTCCTTAAGCTAGCGGCGTATTTGCATAAGTATTCACGCAATTACGCCGAGATGACTGTGCACCTCTCTCGTTTGTAGAAAAAGAACGAGAGGTGGTTATGGAACGCTGAATGTCAGCGCTCCTTTGATGGTATCAAGCAGAGCTTGATACAATCCACAGTCCTAGCAACAGCCTATCAGGACAGGCCATTTCATGTGTGGTCTGTGATGCCAGCGATTTCGCAATCGGCTGTGCATTAATGCAGTACGATCTTGAAGGCGTTGAACACGCAGTCTGCTATCAGTCGCGTCAGCTGCAACCAGCTGAGCGGAACTATCCAGTGCATGACAAGGAACTCCTTGCCATGAAGTATGCACTCGCGAAGTTCAGAGTCTATCTATTAGGAGATAGACCCTTCATTGTTTACACTGACCATGCGTCATTACGCACGGCAGTGAACAGCCCGCGCCTTTTGCAACGAATGGCGCGGTGGTTGTCATTCTTTGCAGAATACAACTTTAAGGTCGAGTACAAACCAGGATGACTTAATGTCGTCGCTGATGCACTCTCACGTCGTCCCGACTTTGAAACAGTCGCGAAACCCAACAGTGAGACAGCCACAGTTGCGGTTGTGACAACCACAATACCATCTTCAACGTTACATGATGATGTGAGGCGGGCATACGCCCAAGATGGTGAGATTGTGAAGTTGTTGAAACATCTCTCACAACCATCCCGAGAATCGTTGAAACGATTGTCGTCTGCGTATCGATCTGCATCAGATCGATACACTACTCGTAACGGTTTACTGTACTATACAGCCGTTTCTGGTGACACACCACGTGTTGTCATTCCAGATGATACTGATCTGCGTTTGCGGATCATGTTCGAGTATCACGATGCTCCTATAAGAGGACATAGTGGCCGGGAGAAAACATATCTCACGGTAAGTCGAGACTTTTACTGGCCCCGCCAGTATCAGTTTTTGCGAAAGTATGTTCGCGCATGCGAAGTCTGTCAACGAGTGAAGTCAAGTCCTTCACTGCGTGCACCTTCACAGCCTCTACCGGTTCCGGCTGAGTGCTGTGAATCCATCTCAATGAATTTCGTTTTCGGGTTACCCAAAGACGCACGCAAGGATACGGGTATTCTCGTATTTGTTGACAGATTCAGCAAGATGGTACACCTAGTGGCTGTACCAGATTTAATCACGGCAAGTGGATGTGCTTGTGTCTTTTTTGACACCATCTTTCGACTTCATGGGTTGCCCCGTGAACTCGTATCAGACAGAGATCTACGCTTCACAGCTGATTTCTGGCGTTCCGTGTTCAAATCACTCGGAACGCGCTTGAAGATGTCAACATCTGATCATCCAGAGTCAGATGGTCAGACGGAACGTGCCAATCGTGTCCTTGAAGAGATACTTCGAGGATACGTACACTCCTTTAAGAGTTGGAGTGAGTTTTTGCCGATGGTAGAGTTTGCCATCAACAACTCGGTGCATGCGTCCACGACACATACACCGTTTTACGTGAATGGCTTGCGCCATCCGCGTGTACCCACCTTGCTAGAGTGTAACTATGGTTTAAGAGGGGGGGACTCGCGCGAGCAAAAACCGATTTGGTTCACGCTCATCACGCTCTGACGAAGAGGTCATTGCGTTTGATGCCGATATTGATAACATCGATATCGAAGAAGATGATTCCAGTGAGAGTGCGGAAGCCCTCACTGAAGACAATGATCCCAGTGAGAGTGCGGAAGCCCTCACTAAAGAAAAGGTTGATGTTGCTGCAGTGCACTCACAGCGCACTGAAGCTAACGAGTCATCAGATGAGTTCATACTGGCTCGTGAAACGGTAGTTCGTTTTGTGCAAGACTCCATCGCCGAAGCGGTGGATAAGCAAAAGCAAAACGCAGACAAGAATGGAATGGAAAACTCTCTATTGTTAAATTAAGGTGACTTAGTCCTAATGTCTACGGTTAATCCACCAAAGCACGTAGTGACTAACTTGGGTAGTAGTAAACTTCTACCCAAGTACATCGGCCCATTTCGTGTATTGCACCGCCTAGGCAATGCATACACGATCGGGTTGCCACGTAAGATGCGAACGCATCCCACGTTTTACGTTGGTCGGCTTAAGCCGTACCATCAGTATGCTGCTTCTTCCGATGAAAACGACCTTGCGTTCAAGCATCTCACAGAGGGCCTTGTGCTCCCGATGGTGGGCATCGACAAGGGTGAGAAGAGCACTTATCTCATCCCGAGACCGATCAACAATCCCACGAGCTACTCTTAGCTCGTCACGAAGAGATGTCA